AAATACCACAATGTAGCATAATTGTACGGGAAATACTTGTCTTAGTTTGGTATAACATGTGGTCCTCTGGGCGAAGCTACATAGCCCTAAACTGTTTATCTTACGCCGAAAAATTACATTGTATATATAGATAAAATATTATATTTTAGTGGTATATAACATATATTGAACACTCTTTATTGGTGATTTTTTCACTTCATTTAAGTTTGAACACCCAAGATGAAATTACATTGTATATATATATAAAATATTATATTTTAGTGGTATATAATATTATGAATAAAAATAATCAATGGGCCATGGTGTGAGATCCGGGTTGATGGGCCCAAGTATTGTAAACAATTAACCAAAGTAGTTAAAATAGGGTAGAGTAGCAATAGTAAGGGTATGCTGAAGATTGTTAGAAACTCCCTCTCTGCTCTCTGTCTCTCTCGCATCTCTCTGTGGCTCTGTCCCCATCCCCTTTCTTTCTTTCTGTAATCTTCACTTTCCTCTATCCCCGTTCTCACTATCTTATCTTGTACTGAGTTCTTTAATGTATTAGTAACCAAATCATTTTTCTTAGACTATTGTTATTGGGTTTATAACATTTAACATATATTGAACACTCTTTATAGGTGATTTTTTCACTTCATTTATGTTTGAACACCCAAGATGAAATTCCTGGCTTCACCACTGGTTGTGCACACAACCACCTCTCCTTCAGTACACATATAATGCAAAGAGGAAACACAGAAAGAGAGAGATATCAAAGCTAACAATTTAAAGAGTTTAATTTTAGTACCTGAGGCTGCTAAGACCACTTGAATTGGAGATATCAGTGAGAGGAACGTGGAAAGCTTCGGACCAAGAAAGTTGTTGAAGACAAGTAGCTGACGGAGTTCCCCAACGGTAACTTCCTTTGGAGAATTTGTGATTCTTTTCATTCATTTTCTCATTGAATGGCTTCTTGAAAAGCTTGATTTGCTCCATTCTCATTTTTTCCAATATATCATGTGATATCCCATGGTTCACCACTTGGAAAAAACCCCATTCTTGTGAAGCTTTAGCTATCTTTCTCTTGCATTCTTCCCTCTCGAATTCTCTTCCATTTAATAGCTCAAGGTCTATTAATGGCAACTCGCATTCCTCTACAACAAAGAGGTTGTGGTAATTTATGTTTGAAGCTTTTCCAATTCTTATGTCGTCAAAAAGTTTCTTGTATGTCTCCTCAAAAGGAGGATCAGGCGATTCTCCCCTACCTAATTTCTGAAAAAGAAAAGGATTATCGTTGTTCATTAAGAGCACCATATTTGTAATACAGTCAAATCTCTCAATAATAACCTCATTTGTTTCGGATTTTTTTTGTTGTTAAAAGATTGGTTCTATAAAAAACTTGGCTTTTATAATGAATATGTATTATATAGCGATATTGTTATACATATGTCAGACTTTATAGAATTCACTTTTGTTAATTGGCAAATATTAGGGACCAAAAAGAAAAAAGGAGTAGAGAAGAAGAACAAGAAGAGGAGGAAGAGGTTTTTCCCCTTTTGTCTTTCTTTTCCTGCTTCTGTGAGCTAACTTCTGATTCAATATCTTTTTAGGTCATGGCCGGTTTCAATGACCGTGGAGACAAAAAAGATACCTGTCCTCTACGTAGGAAGGAGGACAATGAGNATATATATGTATGAGTATTGATTTACATGGTTTTCCATGAGAAAAGGCCCTTGTGATCCGGCCTTTTCTCGGATCTCGTGCACAGTAAAAATAGTGCAGTGGGCTGCCTTTTGTCCACATACACCTCATGTTTACAAGCATGCTTTATTGATCTTGAACTACCTATAGCTAGCCTCTTCCCTTTCTAAAAGTTTTCCTTCCTTTTTTTCGCTGGGATGTTCCGGAGAGTGGAAGGGAGTTAGGTAAGGGTTAATCTTTTCATTTGGACTATGAAAAATGTTTAAGCTTTAAATTGCAGCATGATTATCAGTTCGGTAAAAACATACTTATCTTATTTGGTCATCAAGAATAGAGTGAGGACTATTCTTCACTTACCTAGGGTGATCAGGAAGGCGAGCCTTGACATAACTGGTAAAATTAGGTTCAAGTCATAGAAACAGTCTCTTCAAAAAATGCAGGGTAAGTTTACGTACAATATACCATTGTGGTCCGGCTCTTCCCCGGACTCTGTGCATAACGGATGCTTAGTGCACCGGACTGACCTTTAACCTAGGGTACGGTGATCAGACCCATCATGATATATTCACTATTAATCACTATAATCGTCTGATGTTACAAATAATGCTAGCTGTGTAAATCAATTGGAAGTGAGAACCACACAAGCCAGCAGTAGCAGGCTAGTACAGTAGTAAATAATTGTACTTGATTGATACTGCTTCAAAATTTGCCTTGTTCATATGTAAAGCCGCCTTGAAGTGTGGTTGAGATTTATAGACCGTTTGACCAAATTTTTTTCAAAAGTGCAATTTTCTCAAAAAGTAATTTCGGTGAGAAACAGTTTGTGTTTGATTAATTAGTTTGAAAAACACTTATGAGCAGCAATTAGTGTTTGGCCAAGTTTTGAAAAATTGTTTCTAAGTGTATTTTTCTCATAAGTACTTCTCAAAAAAATACTTTTGGAGAGAAGCTACTTTCTTCTGCTTCTCCTCAAAAACACTTTTTTCTTTCCAAAAGCTTGGCCAAATACCTCAATTTTTGGCCAAAAATGCTTTTGGCAAAAAAAAAAAAAACATTTTGACAAAAAAAAAACTTGGCCAAACAGGCTATTAGACACATATATTCTCGTAAGCTAAGAGGTGAAAATACACTACTAATTAGTCATTGTACTTTCATTTTCAATTTAATTGATGCTATTTATCACTGATCAGTCATTGTTTAGTTTGATCAATAATATTCCAAAACATAATTTTTATTTGAATTGAAAAAAGTTACTCTTATTCTGCAAGTTAATTATAGATGTACCCTGCTTGGTCATAGCATACAAGTTTTTCATTGAACCAACTACTCCTATTATTAATGAAAGCTATGACACAATTAAAGTCCTATGATCATATCGATCTTAACAAGGTAAAAGCTCTCCTCCAGTCTTGCACTGAAATATGGCCAAGAAGCCAAAACTTGACCTCATGAGCAGCTAGACCATATCAACGTAACACTAATATAACGAATGCTGGCGGATTAAGAAATACTATTGTTTTGCAAAATGCACTAGTCTGTCATAAAACACAGGTATTCTTCAAAAAAAAAAAAAAAAAAAAAAAAACTTTTCCTCCTTTTAGAGTAAGTCTTCGTTCTTAAAAGAAGTCAGAAATTAAAGGAATTGAGCAGAAGGAGGTGCTTCTCATGCTGAAGTTTGGTGCAATCATTTTTCTTACTGACTTACTTGGTGTGGCTGCAGTGAGAGGTTCCTAGACTTCACCATAACTTTTCTTACAAGGAGCATGTCCTGAGCTTAATGGTACATTTAACCTGTGTAATAAACGGAAGAATCCAAACAATTATTAGTATATATAAGAACAGATTAGAAAATAAAGCTAAAGAAAAAGAGATAATTAGCTACTTGCATGGCAATGCAGAAAGTGATCATAAGATAAAAGAAAATCGCATGATTACCAAAAAAAGTATACATCGGATTTTAGGACCACACAAAGGTTCTAAGGATTTCCTAATAAAGAATTTCATCATCTAAATTGTCACCGCAAGAGTCTAAATAAAGCTTTCTTAATAAAGAACTAATTTCATGATCAAAGTTTGTAACAGACGAAGTAAATAAAGTTTAGAAAACAAAGACAAGAGGCTGTTCACATACCAGAGTAAGCACCAAGGTAGCAAATACTAGAAATAAAAGAAAATGAAGAAAACTAAGAAGAGTTTGAGAAGATTAAGAGGGTCTTCTTCATGGGTTGGTGGCTAAGTTAGGTTTATTTTGCAGTCCAGAAACATTGGAGAGATGGATATTTTTATAGGGAAAAGAAGGACTTAATTGGAAATATCAAGAATAAAAATGTTACTCCAAGTACAAGAAAAGAAAAAAATAAATTAATGGCATGTACTAAAGGATTGAATGTTTATGCATAGAACAAAAACAAGCGGCTCACAATTCAATCAGAGAAATATTTCTACCCTTTTAGGGAAATGTCTCTTCTTTCCATATCTCGCCATATTACTGTAGGTTGAAAGGGCAATTAGGAGTTTTCTTTTGGGGTTTTAATAGGGGGTGGGTAGGAGGGGCAAACCCTTTTTTGCCCCACCTTTTTAACTTTCTTGCTTTGCACATCACTCATATCAAGACGTACAATTATTAATATTCAAGCCAGCTATCATTTACATTTGGCATAATTCAACCAATAATATTACAATAGCTGTAGAAACCAAACTTAAATTTTGTTAGGACTCAACCTATATAGACGTGGTGCTTGTGCTTTCAAAACAATCTTTCTATCCTGATAAGACAGGGATAAAATTTACGTACACACTATCCTTCCAGATTTCACCGTATGTGATAATACTAAATATGTTGTTGTTGTTATTGTTGTTGTCAACCTATATAAATGCAGCACAATATTGTAAAACTTTTTTACCTTATTAATGGATCTTAACCTGCTATCATGATCAGAGCTAGCTAGGGAATTCATTTGAATCCATTTTTCCCTAAAAAAATATAATTTTATATTTAATATCAAAATTAATTTTTGGGTTATATATAGTAGTAATAAATTTCAAATCTCCTTAATTTCCTCGTGTGTATATTTTTTATAGTTTGGACCCCTTGGTAAAATTTGTGGTTTCACTTATTAGATAATTTTTTCCATTTTCGTGGTTGCTGATCTTATTTTTTAAGAACGATTATATATAATTATCTTTTGCATGATCTAATAGTATTTTTACACCATTGTGCATGAAGTCAATTTACAATGAAAAAAAACACCAGTTCATATCATTTGGTTCTCATTCTTCCAAGTCTTGCTTCCCTTTATTAATCAATAAATTCATCCCTCACCCTTCGACCTTCTTCGATTCTGATATGTGAGAGGAACAGGGCACATGAAAAATTTCTGGAATTGGACCCAAACATGCAACAACTTGAGGGGCAAAACTTAAAAAGGAAAAAAAAACCAACGTGTATTTTTAGCTAACAGTAGAAACAGCAGTTTTGAATCAATGTCGGCATTGATAAAATAACACGTGGCAGCATATGAGAATTACAAATCACATGATCAGTTTGAAATCCACGTCGACAACGAGTGCTAGGGAATTGGTTGCAGGCTGAGAAATTAAGGACTTCCATGTGCACTGCTTTGATGAAAAAGGATACAAGTACATATGCTGAAACATTATTTATTAAATGTACCATACCCCCTATAAAGGTCTCTCTTTACATTTATAACATCTTATTTTTTATGACCTACTTTTTTTCTCACAATTTCAATGGCTACTTTTTCTCACGTTACAAGATCGATCATTTACTCATCAAACTTTCTTAATATGATTACTGTCTTAGCGATTCTTTTTAATAAGATTTACTAGCTATTGTTCATAATTTTGCTATTAATGATACACGAGAAATCTTTTTATGATGGTTCTTCCTTTTAATTATCGGTATAGCACGGACGTGGCTAAGGCCTTCGAGAAGTCATTATCATATGTTATGCGTGAAATTCAATTTCGATAATCTGACCCGAATTTAAGTGATAATTACTTTCGAGAAAAAAAATTCAAAAATCAGATTCTGATTGTGAGGTAATGTTCCTAACTAGTCGTAACATAATATACGTGTATTTTGTTCTAGATTAACTAATTGTAACGTGTAATTTCAACTTTAGATGGTCATTGTCTCTGTTGGCCCAAGAGAAGGTTTGTTTTGAAGATTGACAAAGGAGGCTCAGTCATGAACCATTTTCATCCCTTGTGTGCATAGAAACGGGCAGATTCGAGCATGTGGGATACACGTGAAGGAAACAAGCTTAACTTGACATATTTGATATTTCCTGATCGAAAAGGTTGCAGAATTGATAAGGAAAAGAACTCCTTAATCAAAGAGAACACTATCCAAGATAGGGAAGGAGTTAGAAGTTGAGATCAACTAGAACTCTTCCACCAAGGAAGAATAACATTAGAACTCTAGTTATTTCTTTATCTACTAACTCTATAAATGTCACGACCTCAAATAACCCGGTTGTGATGGCGCTTATCACAGTACTAGGCAAGCCAACCCAACATTTAACCACAGGGAACTCTTTTTATAAAAGCATTATCTAAAACCGTTTAAGTCTCAAATTCTCATATGAAATATATAAATCAACAGAAATATGCAGAATCAGTACAAAAATATACCAACACAGCCCAACAACTCGGTGTCACTAGTCATGAGCCTCTAAATACAACCAAGACACAGTGTGAATAATACAAAATAAGTCTGAAATAACAAACTACTAAAATAGGAAGGAGGAAGGCAGGGTTGTGAACGTCGTGCAACTATCTTGCGATCTCCGGTAAAACTCTGAGAGTGCTGGAAGCTCTCACTCTGATGCTCGGGCACCTAAATCTGCACACAATGTGCATGAAGTAACGTGAGTATGCCAACTCAGTAAGTAACTAAAGTAAATAAGGTCTGAGTGCAGTGACGAGCAGTTAAAATCATATATTAAGTCTCAACAG